TAACCACCAGCAGCAAACTTCTTACATTTTTGAAGATCGGTACCTCATTTGTTTTTTTTTCTAATCCTCTGGTACCCCCTCACTTCTTCATCATTTTTCAAACATGGTTGTAAAGTGGTTTGGGTAAGTGTTTTTGTTTTAAAAACCAGTTCCCTCAATAACAAGATGCATGTCTCTCAGACCTGCTGACTTATGTTTGTTCCAAATTTCCAGATGTTGCATATTTCTTTCTTACTGTAACACAAGCCTACTTACTTACTTACTTTTTTCTTTCTTTTCATTTTCTAACTTCACAGTGTATTTCAGGTTGTCTTTATAGCTAAACCTTCTCCATTAGCCATTTTTTTGGTCAGTTTCACCAAGATTTAGTGATATATGATCTTTTTTTTGCTTATTTTCTTTCATTTTGCTTTTTAAACCTGATTCTTCCTTGTATTTTCTGGGTGGCAATATGTGTCACATGAAAGTTGAGCCATTTACAGTTTGTTATTAAAGCAGAATTTCAGAGTTTGTGAAACCAGACACCACACTCATTGCCATTGAGTTGATTCTGACTCGTAGAGACCCTACAGGACAGAGTGGAACTGCCTCATAGTGTTTCCAAGGCTGTAAATCTTTACAGAAGCAGACTGCCTCACCTTTCTCCCCATGAGTGGCTGGTGGGTTCAAACCTCTGACCTTTTGATTAGCAGGTAGATGCCTTAACCACTGTGCCACCAGAGCTCCTTCTGAGGGGGGATGGGTGGTTATTTGTATCTCCCTTTCTTGTCTCCGTATTTTCACATTTGCAGTCAGTTCTTTCCTAGCAATAAGGGTTAGGTATATAAAGCTTTCTCTTCTCAGTGGATCTCTGAATCATGAGGTTGTACTAATGATAAAATAACATCTTTGATCTATGTTGCATGGCAGAATTCTTACCTCAACAGTAATTTGGCAGTTTAAAGTTTGTCTGAGCACCTGACACTTTAAATCTTGTGTCATCTAGTCAGAAGCAGTGGTTCTGTTTAAACGCAGAGAAGCTTCATTTGCTTAGTGCATTTAGGCAACCTATTTGAATATGTGGATTTATTATAACTACCACCTAGAAAATGTAGCTAATATACCCCAAATGGAAACCACAGAATGGCTTGTCCTTGATTTTGCTGCCTCGATGGACTTTCAAATCAGTCTCATTGTTCTTTGCTTTGCTTTCAATCTCCTTGGCATTCATAAGCATTTCTGTTTTTTTTTTTTTTTTCCTGTTCTAATCTTTTCTCTGGTTCTCTCCCTTTTCTCTCACTTGTGTCTGTAATTCAGGTCATATCCCTTTTTGGCTTACTTCAGTACCGAATGTTGGTGGGATTCAACCAGTGATCTGGGACTCATATGAGTACACTTTTCTATCATGACTGAACCAGTACAGCAGATATTGCATGATTTTTAAAAATTACTTTTTAATTTTTAAAATCTCAGGTTTATTGAAAAGACTCAAACTCAGAACTCACTGCTGTCAAGTCCAACCTGACTCATAGTGACCCCTCTTTGGATTTTGAAAGTGTATCAGATATCACTACAGAAGTAGATTGCCCTACCTTCCTTCCGAGGAGTGGCTAGTGCGTTTGAACAGCTAGCCTTCTGGTTAGCAGTCAAATGCCTTAGGCACTACGCCACCAGAGCTCCTATTGTAAAGACCCCATAAGCAAAATATTTCTTTCTCCTCTTACATATTCTAGTGATTTCCCCCAAAACACAGGAACCTGGTTGGATTTCAAAGAGGCATTTGAGATACCTCAGCCTCAGTAGCTACAGCTTTTCACATCTCTCTCCATCACAGCCTTCTTACTAGTTTAGATTAAAATGAACACGTGAAGAGATTAGAGGAGTTCCTAACCGCATTGAAGAGATTAGAGGAGTTCCTAACCACATTTTTTTCCCTTGGGGTGACATTGACCTTTTCTTTTCTCTCTATAGCTGTGGCAATAGAAAGAGTATTGCCATCAGCACATGAGAGCTAACAGCTGGGACTGGAGACACCGGGTGCTCCTCCTTTGTTTTGCTTGCATTCATCTGATAAGCACCACTACCCTTCAGCCCCTTCCTTTGTCAAACTTCCCAAGTACCCCAGCCAGGAGCCTCTGCTAGAAACCCCACATGCCCCCAGACAGTCAGCATCTGTGCACACAGTAGCTAGAGTTAGAGTGGGCTGTTAGTAACAGAAGAATGGTTGTGAATGTATAGGGAAGTCCACTCTTTGCTCTTCAAAGAAAGTGCAGAAGTTTGAGAGTTTTATGGTGCTAATTCATTGTTTACCTCTCAACAGGATTAGATTGGTGGAGGGAGGGATAGGTCACATTATGATCTCAGTCTCTGGGAGCCAGGAATCTCATTCCATCATAAAGCAATTCCATCAGGATGAAAGTTAGAGGTGCTCATGAGATATCATTGTGTTCATATTTATTAAAAAATCGAAAAAAACTGACTCACTGCCCTCAAGTAGTTTCCCACTCATAGTGACTCCTCCCTGGGTTTCCAATGAAGTATCTCTATGGGAGTAGTTTGCTCAGTCTGCCTTCTGAGGAGTGGCTAGTGGGTTTGAACCACCAGCCTTCTGGTTAGCAGTCAGATGCCTTAGGCACTACACTACCATGCATTCCTTAGAACTAGTCTACTCGGTAATAACTGTTTCTTAAAAGTATTTTTTATTGTTAAGCTTTTAATATGGATTTTAGTTTATCAACATTTTAAAATAGCATTTTATCTATTCTAAAATACTTAATGCATTTTTTATTTTTGTTTTTATTACTTCATTTAAATGAATGCCTACTTCTTACCCTCTTACATGGTTTGAAGCGACCTTGTAGTACCCTTAAATAGCCTTAGATGAGAAGGCTTCTTGACTATGTAGGATTTACTGCCAGTGGCTTTATGATCAGAGCCAGGCTGTCACATAGGAAGTAGAGAAGTATGTTTAGCAAAAAAATAAATAATATATGACAATGAGAAAACTTCTCAAAGCATCTGTTTAATGACTTTTCCAAATTATACACAAATAAATATCACACTTTAAAGATTACTTTCAATCATTATATTAATTGTATAGATTTTCTTCCAGAGTCCTTAAACTTTCCCTTTGCTTCTCATCTTTTTCCAACACCCACTGTTTCATGTATTCTCAATGACTGAGTTCAATTTTCTCCCAAAATTCTTCTGCATGATAATAATGTTGAGAGAATGAATGGAAAATTCTAACCATGGTTGATCTGTCATCATGTCCGTTCACTTATTTATTTCTTTAACATTTTCTTATTTCCTCCTCCCTACAAAGCACTGTTCTAGATGCTGACGATAGATACTACAGACTAAGCACTACAACAAAACTAGGCAGATTAAACATTCTTACTTTCATGTGAAATTTATATCTGCTGATTTCCTGACTTTTATTTATGTAGATACCTCATCATGGATATCAGAAAATCTATTTTTTACAGCTCCCATGCTAATTTTGAAGATTAGTATGTGTTGTTCTCCCAAGGTAATACATCTCCCACCTTCAAAGATAAAGCCATTATTTTTATTTGTCTATGTGGATATTGCTGAAGGAATCAAAAGCTAGTTACCAAAATATGCCTTTTCATATATGGTCTCCACACAGAGAAAGGTAAACAATAGCTGGCAATGGAGATTTTACTCTTTGATCAAAGTCACTTCCAGAAATCTAGAAAGACTATTTGTACCCATATGAGCTCTGGTAGCATAGTGGCTAAGGCACTTGACTGCTAACCAGAAGGCTGGCGGTTCAAACCCACCAGCCACTCCTTGGAAGGAAGGTTGGGCAATC